ACCTGATCACAAGCACATCAATTTCGCTTATTGGTCATATCTCTATATGGTGTGACCGTGTGAATCTAATCTCCCATTGTGTTTGCTTGTTTTGTGTAGGGAGTGAGTGACACAAACAGCAATTTCTTGACAAACAAAAGTTACATCAAGATTCAAGGCATGCCTGCTTGCAAAAGTTAGGCCATCTCACAGCTGTAGCTGCATAAATTAATCAAAGATGACCCATAAAGCAAGCATAACCCTGTTTCTGTGTTTGCGTTTCTCCTCATTCCAACTTCACCAATAACATGAAAATATCCTACTTATATATACAATTTTGCTCCATATGTGGCCAGCAGCAATCTCTGTTTAACCTAAAACTAATACATCATTCAATATATTTGATAATGCAAGTCTGCCCCACTAAGAGTAACCCAAAACAAATGAAGTTATCAGAGCATTCAGGGAAATGGGTGAATCCATATTTACTGCATGACCTGTGTCCTTGATTATCTCCACCTTTGATTTTGGCCCCAACTGCCTGTAGATTGAAAAGAGAACATTAACAATAGGTTCAGATTGGTTTCAAATCCCGATTAAATTTGATCATGAAGATGAAATAAATTAGTTTAAAGACACCTTTGCAGCTGATAGGCCAAGTACACAGGGAAGACATCATCTTTGTCTCCCCAAATTATCAATGTTTCCTTCACACAAAAATAACATTCATTTACAAGACTGAAGAGAAAGATTAATTAGGCTAAATTTTTAAATTATGGCTGAGTTGATTACCTGAGTTAGAATAGGAAGGTCTATATCTGCTTTTTTCCTCAGCAAGTGCTGTGCTAGCTCTAATTTCTCCTTCCTGTGTTGTTTATAGGTCACCTGCATATGCAGCATGCAAACCTTTATAAAATTTAGGAATTTATATATCTTACAAATTCAATGCTATTAGAATTAGGAATTAGTGTGACGGATAAATGTTCACCGACCAGGCACATCAATCATTACATTATTGACAATTTGACAATATAACATACAATTATGCCATGACGGATGCCAATACCACTGAAGAATAAATAACTATAATCTACCATGTAAGGTGGTGTTCTAAAAATGAAGGAATTAGACTCACATTGATGAACCCATGAAGGAAAATATCAGGGACCCACTTAGAAGGGCCAGGTTTGTGCATTGTCAGATTCACCAAGAGCCTCAGATCGTGAGCACTTTCAGGTACAAGGAGATTCAATGCATTGCTTCCAACCTTATTGATCTGCTCTCTTTTCTGCTCCTCTGTCTCCCAACCCCACAACTCACAACCACAACCTTCTCCACCAACTCTGGATGCATCTCAGCCATCCAATATGCCACATACCCTCCATAACTTATAGAGTAAACAGCAAATCTCTCCACCCCTAATGTCTTCAACGCTTCTGCCACACATTTTGATTGGAAAACCTCTGTCCTTTCAGGCCTGTTGGTGTAGGATTTGCCAAAGAACAATAGATCAGGTATGTATAGATTGAAACTTTGAGAAAGTGAACCCACTTGATGGATGAATTGCCACTTTGAATTGCCACCATACCCATGAAGCATTACAAGAGAAGGCTTATTGGACCTCCTAGAATTTGCAACCCAAAAGTTCATTGTAGTTTGGTCATCTAATTCAACTGTGCAGGGACAAAGACCACATAAACTCAAGTATAGAGATAAAAGTGCATCTGCAAGTGTGATTAGGAGTGTGATTGGATTCAAATAAGGTAAGATGGAAATCAAGAATTGAGAAATGGCTATGATGGTTGCAAGGTAGAAGGAGAGGACATTATACAATTTTGGGTAAGCCATGACCATAGATTAGAACTGAGAATATGAGTGCTCTCTGTGTGATTGCTTTTATTTTTTAGCTACTTAAATTGGCATATTGTGCTATGCTTCACGCATTCACCATACAAGACTTAAAAAGAGAGTGAAAGACATCTCCCATTTGTGAGGTAGAGGACAATTATATAACCCACTTGCATGTTCTTTTGGATGATGAAAACAATCTTCCCAACCCTAAGGCCCTGTTTGGTGGGCTGAACTGGACTGGTTAGGATTATAGTCCATTTTAATTGAAAAAGTCTGGTCCAGTCCAGTCCACCAAACAGGGCCTAAAATGACAAAAAGGAAACAATGAGATTGATCTGTAATTGTAAGGATATAAGGCTGGAGAGCGCGAATGACGCTAACCAACTGGACTTTCAATGTCTATTTTGAATAAGAAATTACTGGAAAACAATACTAAGATAGTAAGTCACAAAATTCACTCAATGTCTATTTTGAATAAGAAATTACTACAAAGCAATACTAAGATAGTAAGTCACAAAATTCACAGCTCAAAAAGAAAATGCTCTCGGTTGGAAACACATAAATACACAACTAAACTACATTGAACTGGGAATATGTGGGTTCATATGATTTTTTTCTAGAAGGAAGAAGTGATCTGCCATACTTTCCCTTTGAGTCCCTTTGCGTCCGTTCCCTAGCTCCTTGTTTCTTCTTCTTCTACTTGGGGTTCACCATTCTTGCAATCTCTGAGTCACAAAATAATCAAATATATTGAAACAATTTATAGAAATACAAACATATGCAGGAAGCAAGCAAGCAAGCAAGAAACTTACGGCATGAAGCTGAATTTGACCTGAAAATACCAAGCTTTGCGGATGTACACATCGCGAACAGTTGAATGCAAAATCTCGATCTTGCTACTTCCTCTGCTTCCAACAACAATTCGGAACGTGGTGATCCACAGAGGCTGACGATCATTCCTCCTGTAGTCATAGGCAGTCTGGACAAGACAAAAATCCCAGCCCCCCAAATGAACCAAATACTCTGTCTGAACACCAAAATCCATGTATGAAGGGTACATTCTTTCCAAACCCGGAAGCACCAACTTTGGGGTTAAAGAATATGCTTCACAATCGAAGAAAAATTCAATAACCACCCCAAATATATTAGATGAAGCATACATTCGATTACCTAAAACCACCGCCCTCCCTCGGAAAGGAAAATGTGATAAGGCCATGCGACTAGATAAATCTGCTTCGACATGGCTCCATTCCTTAGTTCTTACATGAAATGCAATGAACTTAGATCCTAAGGCGCATCTTAACGAAAGCAAAATATTGTCGTTGTAAACAGCATAACCAAATATCTCCACTCCTATATCATAAATAAAGGAGGGAACAGGTGGAAGAAACTCCCAACTGTCATGAAGGAGTGAAGAGGACTAACTTGCATGCCCTGTCTCAGCAACACATACAACTTGGAGCCACCGAATAACTCTGTAGCATCACAGAGACAAATGTTCGGGATGGAGTAAGTCTTCTTGTTGAAGAAGGTGGTTACAGGATCAATCAGTGGGGCTTGATCTTTGCCATAATTAACTCCAATTGCTCCTCCTCCTTCCCCCATAATTTGTCCAGATCCTTTTTGGATTTGAATTTCATATATCTCACCTTGATATGGGCTTGCACAAGATGTCACCAATACATATAAAGATTTATAACCATGACCCTCCATGTACGCAAGTAAGCACGGAGAGACTGAAACAAGGTGATTAATTATTTAGCACAACATTGAAAGTCCAATCTAATGCAGAGAAAGACATAGTAGTTTAATTCATCAAGCTAAATAAACATATTTTGCAATTATATCAAACCCTAACTTCAACTCTCATGACACAGTACAGCTAGAACTAACTAACACTTAAATCATGACACGTGTTAGGTAAAAAAAAATTTACCAACCTGATTGTGGGGTGAAAATGGTGGGTTTTTAACCTTGCTAAATTTGGAACATATGTCAGCATCGTATTGAAAATTTTGCATGCCTTGTAGACCACATTATGGCTTAGGTTGCCAGACCTATTAGTCAATCATTCATGCGCAAGTGTTTGTGCTTTATTTCAATTTCATGTGTCGCGAAAATGATGTTTCTGTAGTTTGTGTCCAACTCTAGTTGTTATTTTTGCGCATATTGTGCAATCTTTAGGGTGGAATTAACTTGTACTTTTCAAACAAATTAGGTTCCTCAATTTCTACATTTTGAGTGGAATAATAGAATAGAAGGTGGGTTGAATAATAATAGAAATGAAAACGTATGGCCTTTGGCAACTCGTACAAGATTTCCGACACTATTTATTATCTCAAGCTTATAAACAATCATACTGCGTACTTTGAGATATACTTGTATCTGGTTTCAGATATATTTTCTGTGTATTTTGATTTGTTGGTTTAAAGGTCCCAAGAGAGGCGTGCATTTAGGCAAAGTTGGTACTAATTGAATTGTTGCCTGACCTAGTTGTTATTTTATTTTAAATAAATAAATAAATATATATATATATAAACCCTAAAATGATGATGTTCACAAGTGGGCATTTAAAAATAAAAGCATCAAAAGAAACACAGATCGTTGACAAGGGATTGAAGAGATAAGAGATGCTGACCTGCTTTGGATTGAGAGGAGAGAGACCCGGACGCGGACGCGGACGCGGAGACGGTGGCGTTGGGCTGAGAGACTGCGAAGAGCGATGGGGAAGAGCGATGGGCGATGCTGACCTGCTGTGGATTGAGAGGAGAGAGACGCGGACGCCGACGCGGAGACAGTGGCGTTGGGCTGAGAGACTGCGAAGAGCGATGGGGAAGAGCGATGGGCGATGCTGACCTGCTGTGGATTGAGAGGAGAGAGACGCGGACGCCGACGCGGAGGCGGTGGCGTTGGGCTGAGAGACTGCGAAGAGCGATGGGGAAGAGCGATGGGCGATGCTGACCTGCTTTGGATTGAGAGGAGAGAGACGCGGACGCAGATGCGGATTGCTGGAAAAAATCGTCGCCGTTGGATTGCTGGAAAAAATCGAATCGGAGAGCCCAGCAGCAGCCACGTGGCAGAGAGTCCTGTGCGCGGCACTGTAGCGCTACTGTAGCGCAGATTCATGCAAAAAAAACATGTTCCTATGCAAAAATACAGATTCAAGACAACTCAATTAAATAAATTGAAACAGATTCAAAGCTAACAATCGAACCTAAAATACACAGTTAAAAAATCAGAAATTAAACTAAATCCATGATCAGAATAGCAACACCATAACAGAACTTACCCAAAGCATAATTGGTGGCTTATACTAATTCTCATCCACTGTCTTCTTCATAGTGTCTGTGGGCCGATTGATAACCAAAAAATAATTATAATTATCGTACCTCCATTGAAATACCCAGAGCTCTCAAATTGGATGATGCCAGGCAAAATTTTAAACAACATACATCATAATTCCATAGTAAACCATGAATTACAGTTTGTATCAATTAAAACAAACTCATCACTCAAACTAAAGCAAGATGAAGTAAGCAACACACAGAGATTGAGACAGAGAAATATTTATACCTTCAATTTGGCCTATTAATCCAAACCCACAGAGACTAAGCACAACAACTGCAAAATGAAGAAAAAATTGCCTTAATTTCAACAGAATACCAAAATTTCGAAACCCTAATAATCTACTAATTGGGGAAAATGAAAACAACTAAGAATTCAAACCAAATACATACAAATTTACCTTATAAGTAAGCAACACACAGAGATTGAGACAGAGAAATATTTATACCTTCAATTTGGCCTATTAATCCAAACCCACAGAGACTAAGCACAACAACTGCAAAATGAAGAAAAAATTGCCTTAATTTCAACAGAATACCAAAATTTCGAAACCCTAATAATCTACTAAATTGGGGAAAATGAAAACAACTAAGAATTCAAACCAAATACATACAAATTTACCTTAGAATGAACCAGAGCCCTCCAGAATTTGTAAGGTTTCGCTCCAAAAACCAATGAAATTGGATGATATTTGGTTAGGTTTGGAGAGAGAGAGAATGAGTCTCTCGACTCTAGACTTAAAGAGGTGACTAAGAGTGAGAGAGAGCGAGCGTGACAGAGACAAGTCAGAGAGTGCGCACGATAGAGACGGCGGCCGATGAGGTTAGGGTTAGTCTCAGATCGAGAGAGAAATGGTGTAGGGTTTGATTTTTTTCGTGAGTGAGTGAGAGAGAGATACGGAGTGAGAGAGTCTGAGAGGGTTTTTGAAAAAATAATAAATAAATAATTGAGAGAGGTTCTGATATACTGCAAGCAAACCCACCCAAAGTTCTTATTTAAGCCAATCTGACAACGCCATATGTCAAATGCATATATAATTAAATAATGGTCGGTTTGGGTCAGGTCTAATGGTTCAAAAAAAATTAGACCCGAAGCCTGAACCGAAGTCAAACGGTGGTGCTTAACCTTTATTTTTTCAATTGGCTGGAAGCCCCCAAGTCATTTGGATTTGCATTTTGGTTCCTTTTTGTATATATTTGCTTGGCATGGAGCCCCAAGTATTTTGGAGTTTGCATGTGTAGTTCGCTCAATGGCATGAATGATGGATTTGCCTAAGCCCCCAGCCCTCGTACAAGACCTAGTTTTGCTTGAGAATAGAGATCTAAGACACAAGCAAAAGGTACATGTCAGTCACCCTTATTATGCTTGTTTTGCAAAGTAGATAGCCAACAAAAGGGAAAAAAAAGAAAAAAAAAAATAGGGAATGTTCTTACCTCTTTATTTTCTCTGGTTTATTGCTTCTGGCCTTCTTCCTTGGAGGCATTGGTGAAGATAACGGCCTGATCCCCAGTGAAATCGCCAATTTATGTAGGGGTTTTTTCGTTCTGGCAACTACTGCGGGCCTGGGCTGCTGTAAAGAGTCAAATGTGTGAAAATGCCCCTTGAGTCTGAGCAGACCCCAAAAGTGATTCGTAAGGGTAGTTGAGCCTTAGGAAACACCTTGGTCTTCTTCACAAATGAAACCAACAGTCGCTTACAGATAAATTCTTGGCTTGGCGTGAGAAGCTTGTGGCATGGGAGCTGAGTATTCATCAGTTTAGCATGAGAGAGAGAAAGCTATGCATTCCTTAGGGGAAAAGGGGGGTGTTAAGGTAAGAGAAGAAGGGTCTGCATGAAGGTTTGGCAAAGAATAAGGGAAAGAGAGAGGAATGGATGGCTTGAGTGTTTTTCCGACAGCTTGACAAAGGCTCTGTCAAGTGTTAGAACAGTCTGCCAGAAGAGGAAAAATGGGGGAAAAGGATGAATATAGCACGAAATTTGCTGGGTTTTGCAAGTGAGAGAGGAAGCTTGCTCTCCGGATATGTCTTGTGCGTTAGGTAGGAGGTGGCCCTTTTTATAGCCGCTGGAAGCTATTCTTTTCCAAGAAACCCTAATGGTTTCTATCCATTTTGGCCAAGCTTTTTCCTTCATTTTTCCTCCCTTCCTTTGACTTATCTTGTCATGGTAAAAATCCCCTCTGCCTAATCTCACAAAATCAGGGATTTTTAGGAGTTCAATGCTTTTCCCGCGCCTGCCTTAGTGGAGAACTCCTATTCCTAGCCATCTCCCTCCTTTCTTTCCTTCCTTCTTCCATGGCTAGGTCTGATGAGGGAAAGGAAATGAGTATGCACGCTGGTTTGAAGGGTGTTTTGCTCAAGTATCCTTTAGATTTTTGGATGGCTCGTGTTGGGAATTGTCTTTGGCCATGTGCTGGAGATTCCCAGCAGCCTGCATACATAGGCAACTTTGGCTTTTATCGAGGCTTTTGTCTCCAGCCATGTGCTGGAGATTGCAGATATTTTCTTCTTGGTTGCTTGGGCTTTCCTAAGATAATGGGTTAGCCAATTAAGAGAATGAGCTAATCTCCTTAGGTAATGGGCTATTTTATCAAAATGATGGGCTAATTTTTCTAGAGTATTTGGGCTGGTTTTTCTAGAGTATTGGGCTTTTTTCTCTCTTTTATGCTTACCCACATATTTGGGCTCAAGAAATGGGCTTGAGTTTCTGGGCTCCCAAGTAGCCCCAAACTTCCATTTCTCGGCTCATCAATGGGCCTCATGAAAACTCGTAACCATCCATACCACAACCCACTCAGCAAGCCCCAAGCATTCGCGTGGTTTGGGCCCACTTTAACTTGTAGCGTGGCGTGTTGCTTATTTGCTTGGCGTGGCACGTGTGCAAGCGTATATGACAAACTCTTGCGTAACCAAGTTGGGTTTCTTCCCAAGTTAGGTGTCGTACTCGGCTAGAAATATATTTGGGCCCAACTTTGGATTTTTTGGGCCTCAACACATGTTAATTGTTAAATCAAAGAACAAGAGTGTTATGTTATAGAACATAATTTAATGTTTTGGTTTGTTTTGAAATAAAGTTGAGTTGTTGTTATCATTTTCAAATTTTATGAGTCAAAATTATATTTTTGGAGTTTGAGGGCGTAGAGAATGTCACAAGGAGTTCATACCAATTTTCGATGTATTTTTTGGATTTGTATTTAATTTATTATCAATTTTATAAGTTAAATCCTAGAAAAATAATATTAAATCGTATGGGGTGATACATGGCGGAAGCTGAATGGAACGCAATCAATGTGTCTGATCGCTGTCCTCTTGTCATTGCGTCACGTGGCCGTTTTTGATACTTTTATCAAGTTTATGTGTAAAAATTCATAAAAAATTAATAAAAAATCAGAAAATACACCGAAAATTGCTACAAACTCCTTATAACATTAACTTCTATTATAAAGGTCTAAAATCGTGATTCCACATATTTGAGTTCATGGTAAGCATTAAATCAAAGAACATAAGTGTTATGTTATAGAACATAATTTAGCGTTATGTCAAAGAAAAATAATATTAAATCGTATGGGGCAACACATGGCGGAAGCTGAATGACGCGCAATCAGTGTGTCTGATCGCTGTCCTCCTGTCATTGTGCGACATGGCAGTTTTTGATACTTTTATCAAGTTTATGTGTAAAAATTCATATATAAAAATTCATTAAAAATCAGAAAAATGCACCGAAAATTGCTACAAACTCTTTATAACATTATCTTCGATTATAAAGGTGTACGTGATTCTACGTATTTGAGTTAATGTTAAGTGTTAAATCAAAGATGAAGAGCGTAATGTTGTAAAACATAATTTAGTGTTTTGGTTTGTTTTGAAACAAAGTTGAGTTTTTGTTATCATTTTCAAATTTTATAAGTCAAAATTATATTTTTGGAGTTTGAGGGCGTAGAGAATGTCACAAAGAGTTCGTACTAATTTTCGATGGATTATTTAATTTATTATCAATTTTATAAGTTAAATCCTAGAAAAATAATATTAAATCGTATGTGACAACACATGGCGGAAGCTGAATGGCGCGCAGTCAGTGTGTCTGATGGCTGTCCTCCTGTCAATGCGCCACATGGCAGTTGTGATACTTTTATCAAGTTTATGTGTAAAAATTCATATATAAAAATTCATTAAAAATCAGAAAAATGCACCGAAAATTGCTACAAACTCTTTATAACATTATCTTCGATTATAAAGGTGTACGTGATTCTACGTATTTGAGTTAATGTTAAGTGTTAAATCAAAGATGAAGAGCGTAATGTTGTAAAACATAATTTAGTGTTTTGGTTTGTTTTGAAATAAAGTTGAGTTTTTGTTATAATTTTCAATTTTTATGAGTGAAAATTATATTTTTGGAGTTTTGGGGCGTAAAGAATGTCACAAGGAGTTCCTACCAATTTTCGGTGAGTTTTTTGGATTTTTATTTCATTTATTATGAATTTTGTAAGTTAAATCCTATAAAATTATTGTTAAATGGTATGGAGCAACACATGGCGGAAGCTGAATGGGCGTGGTTAGTGTGTCTGACGGCTGTCCTCCAGTGATTGCACCACTGTCCATTTTAATCCTTCTTTTGTTGTTTTTGTTTAAAAATTTAAAATTAATTAATTAAAAATCAGAAGAAAAAAAAACACCAAAAATTGTTACAAACTCCTTATGATATTATCTTTGATTATAAAGGCAATTAGGAGCAATACAAAGGCAATTAGGGGCAATACAGTGGCAATACAAGGCAGCAATACAAAGGCAATTGGAGGCTATGTAATGGCAGTACCAGGGCAATAGGAGGCTATACAGTGGCAATAAAAAAAACTCCAATAGTCCCTCTTATGGGGGGCAATACTGGGGCAAAATACACAATGTATACAATGTTCTCTCTTCAATGTATAATATAAATAAAAGTATTTTTCCATTGTTCTCTAAAAAAAAACGTATTTTTCTATTGCACAATTCTATTGCACACACTTGCGAATATAAAAAAACAAATTCAAGACTGAAATTTCTCAAGTAAATTGAACTCAATTTCATTGAATGAGGACTAAATTACAAGAGTAAAATATATAGTTCCTCAGTTACATGTTTTTCTCCATATAATTACAGCACACTTCCTGTGACAGAATGGAATGTTGTCCCACGCCAAATTGATGATGGTTCTCAATGACAACAATCTTCCATAAGTCAAAAATCTAGGTCCAACTATCATTAAAAAAAAAAAAAAAAAAAAAATCCCAATATAAAAAAAAAAAAAAAAAAAAAAAAAAAAAAACCCTGCAAAGGAGATGTCAAAACAAGAAATTAGCAAAAAGGAGAAACAAAGACCAAAAAAACAAAATAGAAACTGAGACAAGAAAACCGCAATCAAAAACTAAAAGACATAAGAAACTCATACTAATTGGCAAAGAGCTTCCTAACCTAGAACACCAACAAGAGAAAAAAGGGAAAAGTGGAACACATAAAGCACAAAGAAACTGTTAAACTAAATAAGATGGACAAAACCAGACATCAAAACACCTCAAGGGGTGAACTTAATCAACCAACCAATAATCAATATAACCAAACAACATCCATAACATCAATACAGAACCAGATACAACTACAACATCCATAACAGCAATACATAGAACAATGAAACTAAAAAACAGCTGCATTCCAATCTAATAAGGTTGAAGAAAAGTAACTATTCCGTACATAGTGATATTACGGGAACATGATTAGAGCATCTCCAGCGCAGCCCACCAAACCGGGCAAAAGGCCCCCCAGGGCAAGGTTTGGCCCTCCAGCGCTGCAGCCTGCAGCCCAGTTTCGCATGGGTCCCACCAGCCCGGGCAAGCCCAAGGGCAGGTTTCGCCTGGGCTTCAGCCCGAGTTTTGTGATGTCAGCGCTGACGTCAGCGAGGCAAAAAAAATATTTAAATAATCCAAAAAAATTTCATTTTTTTTTAAATACCAAAAAATTATAGATGCTTTCCTTATAAATACATAACAATTTTATTCACTTTCTAAATTGTTTATATTTTGTTGCATAATATTTTTTTCCTTTCTTGCCATAGACTTGCCCTAGACTTAGCCCTCATGGGTGGAACCACAAATGGCAAGGCTAATACTATTCATGTGAATAGTGGCAGCCCTTGCTTGCCCTTGCCCTAGATTTAGCCCTTATGGGTGGACATGCTCTTAGGAACAAAAAGAACCATTAAAAAATCATCATATGGTATGGCAAAAAATAGGGCAATGTGGAATTGTCTGACTCAAGAAGCTCCACATGTACTTTATATAAGCTTCCTAAAGAAGGCAATAGTGAACAAAACCACCAAAATTTTCTGAAGCAGTCCAATATTCTCCATTTCCTAAAAAACAAACAATTCTTGAAAAAATAAAAACAAACCAATCCTATGTTTCTATATAGGTGTAAGAGAATCATGAATTGAAACAAATAATCTACATGGACACCTTTAGAACAAGGAAATCATATCCATATGTTACATTTTATAGCAAGCCATATCAAGGGAGGTCTACTTAATGCTCTTGCAATACTTCAAATTTTGCTCAAGCATCTCATGAATATGCCTATTTTCAACTTTCCCATATTCCAATACTTCAAATGTTAACACCAAAAGATGTGTATTTCAATGGCTGATTAGCATCACACTCACATAAAATCTAATAGCATAAGAAACAAGCACATTCCCATTCATTTCAATTAATAACTCCATTTCCTAATATCATCCATTCACACCTTATGCAAGTCACACAAGCAGCAGTAAGGGAAAAATTTACATTAAGCAAAAAGATATCACTGCAGTTGAGACATACCCAACTACATTATGTCATATACTAATTGGACAAACCAAGTGACACACATAAAGCTGCTAATTAAGGTTATTTCTACTAATGCTTACAATCACGCCAGTTGCATACTGGTTGACTAAATTCACTAAAGTAAAACAACACCACAATTGACTAAATTAACAATAGCAAAGTACAATTTCTGAAGCAAATGTTCTACCAAATGCCGAAACTCCATCCACTACAATACAACTACAGAATTGCATCCATCAAATTGCATAAGAATCAACAAAAACTTAATATCCGAGCAAATTTCAGAACAATAATCATCAAGAAAAAAAATGTAATCAAATTGCAACAAATCAACTAAATACCTTGCAAAAATTAATGCCCAACAAATACAAAATCTTCACCGGACGAATTATTTAATCAACCACCAAACCAAACATACCAGCACATAGCCTCCACATGGATCAATCTAACCAAAAAAAAATATTCCAAAAACAGATTAATCAGAACCAGAAAAACAAAAACAAAAACATTTCAACTGAAAGACCTGGATTGAATAGCAACAACAGCATGCACACAAAAAAAAACCCTAGAAACCGATTGAAATCTTACTGTGGTAGCTGATGAAAATACTAATGAAGACTTCTTAGCCAAAAAATAAAAATAATATTATGAAGCAATGTTGAAGCTCTAGTGAATCTTTTTAAAGCTTTTACGAAACATATTTTGGTGGCATACAAGTGATGCTGCAGCATTGAGATTCTTACTTGTGCTCTCTATTATTTTATTGCATTACTTGCAAAATTTATAATTTTTAAAAATTATAAAAATATACGTAAAATTACTATAAGTTCCTTGGCTTTTTGGACGGCGATTTCCTCCCTAAGCTTTGCCATCTTTTCTCTTTTCCTCGCCTGTTCTTTGTGTAGAAGAAACACAATACCCTTTAGTGATCAAAAGAAAAGTCTTGAATTGAACTTTGAAACATACAAAATGCAAATACCTGATCAGTTACATCCATCCCCATGTAATTTATACCAAATGTCTCTCCTACCTTGCTGAAGACGGGCTCCACATATATCAAAAATGTTTTTGACCCAAATAATGGTGTCTCAAATGTAATCTCCCTCTTTGCAGGTAACCCTTTTTCCAGAACCTCCTTCTTCCAAAATCTCAACATTTGTTCTTCCTGTAATGTGCTGGCAAGAAGAAAGAACAGAATATAGTTAAGGTGGTTTAGTGTCAGAGTGTCACTTAATCAAGGCAATAATTACCTCCTTTTAAATTACATTGAAGTTATACAACAATCCTATCAAACCTTGAATAAGAACTTCAGTGGCAATTAATTACCTCCTCTTGCAAACTTGGGAAGTGATTATAGATAAACCGATACCGCAATTCTTTATCCTAAAACAGAAAATTATCAACAAAAATAATTTTAAAAAGTGATCAGTGAGGTCATTTTAAACATAAACATAGGATTTACAATGTATCAGTCAGTTACCTAATGGCCAATAACAACAGGTGCATTATGCAGCACAAAATGCAAGAAATTATCTGCTCTTTTCAAAATCTGGGACAATTCTTCCACTAGTGAGGATTGCCTTTCAAGAATTTGAATGCTTTCCTGCAATTAATCCACAAGTATCTGCTCTCTCTCAACACTTGCCTCCATCAACTTCTCCAACTTTTCCCTGCACTGCTTCAGTGATAAAAGTAAAATCAAATTAGGGCAGGAAAATATGAAGAAGCCAATTCTGGTAAAACCCTGATGCCACAAATAAGAAAGTAGACCAAATTGAGGATTTTCTCTGAACTCATGAGTAAACAGAGAACAGGGGTTTATTAAGATGTAGAAATAATAGAGGAAAACTGAGACAAATGTCAAGATTACATTGGAGGACCAAGTAGCATGTATGTACATTGTATACCTTCTCCAGGAAATAGACTTTGGATAAAAATAAAATTTTCCAAATTTTTTTATGCATCAAGAAGCTGAAACAAGGCAATAAAGAACTTAAAATTCAAGAGAAGAACTGAACTCAACATAAACATAATTCACGAACTTCAATCTTAAAAACAATAAACTCAAACATTTGCATTGCAAAATTCTTGGATTGGTTTTAGTTTATTAAGATGAGAACAAAAGTGTCAAAATCACAAATTCTTTAATTTATTGCTTTGAGTTCCAACTCCAAGTTAAATAAAACTCTGCCAATAGCAACACAAGAGTAGAGTCTTAAATCATCTGCTCCTTATGAATAAAAAGGCAAGAAAAGTATGAAAAATAGAAAATGCAAAACATATTTTGAGAGTATGAAAAATATATTACCTTCTCAAAGAGATCGCGGTTCAATTGCAATTTCTCAGCTTCTTGTAGGGTTTGACTTTTCAAAGAGAGGAAATTCAGGTGAAACGTGGAGTTATTCAATAGAAAGAGCCTAATATTAATCACAAAACTCGACAACTTGTTCAGAGCTATTGACAATTTTGAGAAATTTCAAACGAATGCAATCTAAGTCACAGGATAAACAATGCACAGAACAGGGTGAATTGTTGGGAAGAGCTAACCTTTACGTTTCACTCGGTCCAGCGGAAGATCCGAAAGGGAGTAGTTGGATCGGAGGTTGACCGATTGATTATGTGAAGAGAGCATGAAGCTTGTGTTTCCTTTTCATTTTTGGTGCTACAATATTTAACTTGCAGTGGTAGCAGCCTCTTTCACTGTTCTATTTTCTGTTCACTGCTTTTTGCCTCAAAGTTTTGTATATTCATCAATTACTGCCTCAAATTTGTGCTAGTTTGCTGTTCTAATTGTGTTATTTTGCTCCTCGAAATATGTATTTCTGATACTGCTCTATGTCCAGGCTATTCTTGCTACAGTTTCTATTGTCCTTGGAGTAACAGAGCTGTGTAGCTTGCTGATTGTCCAGATTGTTAAAAGAAAAATAAGTGTAGTAGTTTAGAGGTTTAGCCCATCCCAACTGCTCTGGCCCCGCCTCCCTGCCAAGCAGAAGTACCCAGAACCAGAAAATGGCAGGGGAAGATGAGGACTTGCCCAGAGATGCAAAGATTGTGAAAACGCTGTTAAAATCAATGGGTGTGGAGGAGTATGAGCCCCGTGTTATTCACCAATTCTTGGAGCTGTGGTATCGATACGTGGTTGATGTGCTCACTGATGCACAGGTCTACTCAGAACATGCTGGTAAGCCCGCAATTGATTGTGACGATGTCAAGCTTGCTATTCAGTCCAAGGTTAATTTCAGCTTCTCACAGCCCCCTCCAAGAGAGGTAATATATTTCACTCCCTTCCATTTCTTCAGCTAAATTTGAGTTCATATAACAAAATTGTATAACGCTATGCATAAAAAAAATGTACCCTTTTCGTTATGAAATCAATCAGCTTATGCGTGTTATTCGGCCATTATGGTACAAATTTTGACATTGTTAAGCAAACCCATCATCAGGTGCTACTGGAGTTGGCTAGAAACAGGAACAAAATCCCATTACCAAAATCAATTGCTGGGCCTGGTGTGGCATTGCCGCCTGAACAGGACACATTGATCAGCCCAAACTATCAACTGGCAATCCCAAAGAAACAATCTGCTCAAGCAGTGGAAGAAATGGAGGAAGATGAAGAACCTGCTGAACCCAATCCGCCCCCGCCCCAGGAACAGAAGCCCTCTGATCTGCCTCAGGGTACTCCCCAAAGGGTATCCTTTCCCCTTGCTAAACGCACCAAATGAGAGATTACATGGTACATCAATCATCCTATGGGATTATAGTCCAGAGATGTGAGATGAGACAGTTGTTCACTTACTAGGGATTCTGAGTCGTATTGGATCTGTGTACTTGTAAAAGAATGTTCAGTTTAAATATTATGTTGTTTACTTCTGTAGTCTTGTTCTTTCACAATTATTTGAATGCTTTACGCCATATGGTCATTCGTAGTGTTTTGAATGATTAATTGATTATGTGAAGAGAGCATGAGGCTTTTTTTTTCCCCTCTTTCTACAATTCAGGCTCAGGAAAGCTTATAAATGATCAACGTCATGAAAGATTTTGTACATTTTCTCCATCAGTTTCAGTCATCCGACAAAATACAGCAACTTATTAGAAGCATGCATTAAGCATAATGGAACCAATATGATTGGAAAGGAGTATCATGAAGCATAATATTGCATTCAATATGTGAACTTCCAAGATAAACCGTTTTAACACCTTGTTGAATTCGGTTAGTCATCAAATAACAGAACCATGTAGCTGTTCTTTACAAATGCTTTTTTGATTTATATACAAGAATGACTAAGTGTCACTAGATACACCATAAATGAGAGACAATCGAGCAGGGGTCAACTTCTCCAACCCACCATACTACTAGAAGCAGGCCCTGTACTTGATACACTCATGCCCCGGTCGTACATGCGCTGAATCTCTTCCCTGTACTCTGTCAAAGACTTATCAGGAATTGCTGGAGTCAGCTCCACCACATCCCCCATCTGCAGCTTGCATGTAGGATCACTCACTGCCGCATGGTTCAGCCTAGGCCTCAGTTCTTCCTTCAGCGGGAACCCGTATGGTGTCCATCTCAGGCTCCCTCGCCCAGTTCTTTCCAGCAGATCCATGATTGTAGAGTTTGTAGGAAACTCTTGAACAGACATCTGCATAAAAATATATATATATATATATATATATATATCTATATATATATATATATATATTCAAATTTAAAAAACAAACTCCCTACACAAAATGCATTATAAAATGCAAGCAATTAAAACACACCATATTACTTTTAGATTATTATAAATAAACCCAATCCTAGGCATGTATTTATAAAAAAACCCACACACTATTTAAACATAGAAACACACCCAAAATCAACCCCAAAATCAACAATTGTATATTTTTTGGGTGTGTTTATAAATGGGTTTTGAGTGTGTGTAATGATGGATTTTGGGTGTGTTTCTATGTTTAAATAGTGTGTGGGTTTTTTTATAAATACATGCCTAGGATTTGGTGTTTTAGTGAAACCCCCTATTACTTTTGCCTCTTAAGTCTCTTCTTTGCCTGCTATATGGACATTAAACAATATGTCATATAGCTATCAGCACTTGAGACAACATGCATGGTAAATGAATGCATTGCGAAACCAAAAGAATTACAGAACATCAGTTCAAGACTACTAAACCATAGAAAAACTTCAAGGCCATTGACTTAGTGGGACTTTAAGTCCCACAATGACCCACCTGATACACATACTTTCATTGAGTTTAGATAAAGCTTGAAACCAACTAGAAACCAATTAAGCAAGTCAAAATATATGAAAATATAAACATATACAAAAGGTTTTCTAAAACAAACCTTATCATTCTCTATCATGATGACAAACACCGGCCCTTCTTGACCACAGTGGGGTTTGTAGGAATATGGGCAGTCATCAGAATGTGAAGGAAACGTGCAGGGTGGCTTGCTTGAATCAGCATACCCAATGGATGACCGGTCTCTGCTCATTGCCTCACACTGCCAAGTGACCACCCATCTGGCCCACTCGACCATCTGAAGCACAAATGAGGGGTGCTTACAGTCACCTTCCTTGTATCTCCAGTGAGCTGCAAATCCAAACTCAGCTTGTAAATGCATCTCCTTTGTTCGAATTTGCACTTCCAGCGGAATCATGCCTTCACCCATCACCACAGTGTGCAGTGACTGATACCTATATTTTTAACTGAATATTAGGAGGAGAATAGCGTAACAAAAATAAACGCACGCTAGAACTTTTTGATGTATGGCATACCCATTAAACTTGGGTTGAGTTATGTAGTCCTTGAACTTTCCTGGCACCTCAGACCACAGCTGATGAACAACTTTCAGTGCTTCGTAGCAATCTTCCTCATTATCAACAATCAAACGTAGCCCATGAATATCATGAATTTCATCCATGTTTAGCTTCTTTCTGCACAAAGTAAGCCATCACATAGTTAATTTCTGTTCAAGCATAGAAAATAATGTGCTAAAGCATATGGATGTCAAACCATGCACCTATATTGTGATGCATTAAAATCCGAAACTATGTTCATCACTAAACTTATGATTAACTTTTATGCTGCAATAGAGAGAGAAAGAGAACATACTTTAACATTTTGCAGTAGATGCTATACAAGCTCTTATGCCGCCCACAAAGTACATGGTAGGAAATGGCTTTATCCTTGAGAGTTCGCTCTAATCTCTCTGTTGCAGAAGTAATCATTGCATCATCAAACGAATCTAGAAGCTTAGAGGACAGTTCTTTGTGCTGGTCTGGGTTGAGATGCTTAAAACATAAATTTTCCAGCTGCAACTTCCAGCTAGAGATTCCTAACCGGTTGGCCAAGGGTACAAAAATCTCCAAAGTCTCCTTCGCAAACCTCTGTTGCTTAGCCAAGGGTAATGCATCCAGTGTCACCATATTATGTAATCGATCCGCCAATTTAATGAGGACAGCTCTGGCATCTGCCATGGCAAGGAACATGGTATGCAGGCGATCTGCCTCAACTGTTTTGCTCGCTGTATTATTATCCCGGGCAAGCTTGCTAAGATGACTTAGCTTAGACACCTAAGTAAATGCCATAAAGAACTTAATTAGAAACTAGCAAACGTCAATCTTATATTCATATATTATATGTATATATAATTTATTTAACACAGCATAGTTCAGCATATCAATACTTCTGGATCTTTTTTTTCCAGAACCAATGTGACAACCTTGAAAAAAGAATTAACAAATAACAAAATTCATAATTTTATCAACCCAAATGCTGATGATTATTAGATAACGTAAGCAGAAGCTTAATAGCTTATGTTAGGATAGTTCCATATTAAAAAGAGGGCAAATCTGGGACTGCAAACAAAGCATCACTACTCCATAAAAACAAACACAATAACAAACCACTTTAAAATAGGATCCTACACTACGTTTCACTTTTGTGTAACACAGCAAATAATAGATCAAGGGAAGAAATGTGCGTTCTTCCACACATCCAGACCCACAGAAAGGAAAAAAATAATAAATGCATCAATCATACTTTCAGTCAGAATACTGCAAAATTAAATGTCCTATCATAACTTTATGGATAGAGTATCATTATGTAAGTCTGAATAGCTACTTTTTTCTATCAAGTTACAATTGGAACACCACGTAACATGATTTTTAACTTCACAGAGTTGCACCGTTTATGCAAGACAATCATGTAAACTGCAATAACATGAGCCCATTTATGGAATAAATTGATAGCATGAACAAATGCCTTGTAAAAGTACTTCTATAAGTGGATCACAGTTAAATTTCTATTAAGTGGCGCACCTACAAGACCATCTGTAAAAGGTCCAATTTATGAAAGAGCAATCCATAAAACAAGAGCTGGTCGATTTCAAATACCATGTAACACTTAACTTGTTCAACGTAAGAAACAATCAATAACTACTTAGCATGCACACAAAAAATTAACACGTCCTTAATTACTCAAATTCAGTAAGACAATAGAGTTATGAGAATCCTTAAACTCTTACCCCTTCCACTAAATCAGCAACCCCTGCTCCAAACTTCCCAAATAGATTGTCATAACACAAAAAAGAATCATCAAGCGTGTCATGCAAAAGCCCTGCAGCAACAACTGTCGAATTAGCACCAATTAATGCGAGCAACACCGCAGTCTCCACACAATGCTGCAAATACGGATCGCCACTTGCCCGCATCTACAATAAAACAACAAAATACAACACGAAACTTCTCAACCCAATTCACGAAAATCCCAAACGCAAAAATCTGCATAAAATTCAGACCCAAAAATTACCTGCCCTCTATGAGCTTTCTCGGCCTCGCAAAAAGCCTTGATAATAAAATCTTCATAGAATATCTTGTGGCGCAGTTGCGCACCCAGAAGCAATTCTTTGGCATAAGGCTCAGAAATGCCCTCCAAGAACCCATCTTCCATATTGAAAGTCAAATCATCAAGAACCACAGCTGACGAACCCACACCCAAAGCATCAGTACGAGCCTCAAAACTCGGCGAATCGTAATCTATGCACGAAGAGCCCAAAGCACCTCTCACGAACCCATTAAACAACCCATTACTGCCACACCGGATTGAATTCAAACTAATATCTCCATTGTTAGACCTCTCCCGTGTAATTCTCATTGGTGGGCTTCTCGCCGAGCTCGAAACCCCACTACTGGAAGATGAAACTGGGCCCTGAAACACCGAAATGGGGCTCTGGTCCCGATTCAACGAAGCCCCATTGAACTTGCTCGGAGAATATCGAAACGAGCTACTCAATTCCTTCAATTCTTCGCCCCTGTCGTGCCATAGAGAGCCCAATTCCTCTCCTCCACCCGAATAGCTCGACGAGGACGACGCGTGCTTCACCGTCGGCGATGAGAACAGGCACGAGAGCCCACCAGTCACCGGCTTTTGCGACGTGGAGGCCGTCGAAGCCGTCGACGACCCAGATCGAGAGCTCAATTCGAAATCGTATGAGGTATGCGCATTGATCTGGCACGGGTGGGTCGTCGAGCACACACTGCTCGGCGGGCTTGCGTACAGGGCTATTGTTGGCACCGTCATGGCTTTTGTTTGCGACGATTTTGAGCCTCAGATCACAACCCCAAACGAGCACAGCACAAATCGAGACAACCCAGAAAAGCTTTCACTCCAAATTGAATTCCACCTGAGACCCACTAATTTTCTTCGCAAAAGCCACTTACTTTCCCAGAAACCAAACAGCTTCAGGCACCCGATTGGGTTTCTCAGAGACCCATTAAGTTAATTTTTGAGGTACCCAATGGGGTAAAGTTTATTGAGACCCCAATAAAAAATAATTATTCTATATCTAAAACAATGAAAGATTGTCAAAAATGAAAAGTATAATGGAACGAAATTGAGCTACAGTATGTAAAAATTTATAGAAGTCGAGCTCAAGAGGAAAAACCCTACACCTAAATTTCGAGGAAAGTGAGTCAAAGACGGCATAAAACGCAGAGCGAGCGAGAGCGAAAGAGAGAGAAGAGAAGGTGAAGAAGGAGAAGCTTCTTTCTTCGTCTTTGATTTTTTTGGTGAGAATCTCTCTCTTCTATCTCTCTCTCTCTCTCTCTCTGTTTTGAGTTATCGCTTATCGACCAGGGAAATCGAAGGTGAAATTACAAAACTGTCCTCTCAGTTTTATTCCATATATAACTAATTACCGTATTTGGGACATGGACAACAAGGATGATCTGATTATCCTTAATGACCTGGAATTTAGGGTTTTAATCTAATTATAGATTTTCTCATTGGTCACATCAAAAGCAAATAAGGGTTGATGTGGTAAATATGTACCTGGCTGTGTTTCTGTCCTTAATTAGGAAAACCAAATGAAAACTAACCAAAATTAGAAATATAGAATATTCTTTTGGATAGTAAAGAAAATTTCGTAACACACCTCAAATCAAAAGATCTTTGCAAATAAAATTCTAAAGTAAATTCCAGATAGGCGCAATCGCTACAAATCGCGAATAAGTTCTGATATCGGAATTATTTGAGTTAATATAGAATGATTTTTTGTTTGTGATTAAAATACAAATTTCATTCCCATTATCCTAATCCAAAAACAGCAAAGAAGCAATTTGGGTAATTCACCTTTGGTTTGGTCAGGGGAATAATAAGCATGCATTAAGTAATGAATATAATAATTAATCTTGAAGGGGAAGTTTGTAGAACTGTTTCTCCATCTATTATTTTATATCTTGTGATTATCCACTTGATTAATTTTATATTAGTTGAAGTTGAAATGGGTAACAGAATATACGAAGTTGATGTGGCATTGTTTAAGACTAACTACAGAATCAAATCATCAATCTCCCAATGGTGTGCCTATATGGTGCCCCCCAAATGCAATCAAACTTTTTGTGTAAAGCTAAATTACGTTGGATTCCACTAATTGTACGAAAACAAAATGATCGCCAGCAAGAACATGTGATAAGACGCACAAGATGATTATAAGCACTTATGAATGATCAATATCATTGCTTATTAGGTGCAATTTTAGGTATGTTTGATCAAAAACATGCCCAAAACCTAAACATGTTGTTTGTAAATAATTCACCTAAACTCAAATCCAGACAAAAATCACAAGGGCACTATTGACAATTCAATGGGGGAGTGAGAGATAACTCTCAACCTCCCTACGGAAGCGCAAGAGTATTATAGTCCACGATAAGACCCACGTCACCACCAAATACGTATTTCCAATCTTTGATGTATTTTTCTGTCAGATTCAGTTCAGTCCCGTGGTGAGTGTGAACCCGCACGGCACGTGGCACTGTCACACGCAGCAAACACCGCCACATGGTCAGCGCATTGGACCTTACACGTGTTCGGGGATGACGGCTATTAGGTTAGCCTTCATCTAGACACGGTCGGAGTCGGTCAGGTCACTCTCTAAACACGTGCTGGAGGCCGAGTCTGCTCCGAGATTGAAGGACTGTGTGTCTTTTACTTCGTCCGATAACTCCGACGGTCAGTAGAAGCTGTGAGACTGTTACAATCTGTGGACTACACATTGGGGCTGGCGGTGACAATAAAAGCTTCTGAAAGGTCAAAAGTCAAAATAAGTGCTCTTCTTCATGGTCAATATTTTATTGCTGTTTTCGTTTTTTTCATGTTTATTTTCTCGCGTGTAGCTGGGTTGATTGGCAGCTAGCAGCCAACTCTTGAATATTTTTTTATGAAAACTAATTTGGATCATATTGCCATTGACTTAAGGCTCATTTAGGACTATACTTTTGTTCATAAGCACTTCTAACAAAAGCACTTTCATTATAAAAATCTTGAATTTTCATTTTTTTTTAAATCTAAGTACTTCCTGAAGAAGCACATAGCAAGTGCTTTCTATAAGCATTTCTAAACTGTTCTTACAATCTTAAGCACTCTTAGTTGCCAAAAAACGCATTTAGCCCTTCCAAAAGTACGCTTAAACATTCCTTTATTCATGTTATAAAAGGTTAGTTGATTATATATCAACCTATTTCTAAATCTCGTGTATAATTAAAAAAAAAAACCTAAAATAGTGCAGGATCTCGAGGTCTTAGGTTTGATTTCCTTATATTTGAGATTCTAGGTTTGATTCCCTCATACTCAATATCGCTTGTATGACAAAGAAAAAATAAGTAAAAGACCTCGAATTTAAAATTAACTATTTTTTATCACTTGAGCTACAATTCTCTTATTTTTATTGTTGTTGTTGTTTAGTTGTTAGTATTTGGTTGGATGAATTGATATTTCAGTAAAATAAAAGTAAAAACAAGTTTAATTTGAATGATTGGTTCTCGTGATAATAATTAAGTGGAAAAAATGAAAAGGACAATTTTGACAAAGAGAGAAAGAAAAAAAAAACTGAGTGTGCATATAATGACAGGTTGAGTGAAAGCTTATTGTTTTTGCGTATGAAACTGTTGACAAAACGTACAAGCCACAGTTGCATGTGTTAGGGTGCAGCTTATTTTTCTATTTTTCACTTTCCATGCACGCTACGGTTTCAATTATTTGATAGAGACAAGTGCAGTGTGCACCCAACTTTAGGGTTTCAATTCCCACATGCTCTTTTTTATTTTTCATGAGTATATATATATATATATATATGTATGTATGTATATCAAATAATTTTTCATGAGTCCAAAACAGTCTTAATCAGCACTACGTATACGAAACTGTGTGACAAAAAGACTTGTATCATTCTTGTTAATCAAATAGCATAATCAAATAGCATATGACTACACGAAACTAAACTTGAGTGGTGTCGTTTGATTTTCATATACAAAATCATCACTAGCTAAAACCTAATGAAGTCATGAAGATAACTGTATGAGCAACTTTATGAGAGATCAAGGACATAGCCTTTTATAGATGATAAATCCCATCTATATCCTAATACACAACTTTAATCCATATTTCTAAAAAGTTAAGAGCAAGTTTTGATAATCATTTCATTTTTAGTTTTTATTTTTTATTTTTTGCACTAGAGTATATAGGAAAAAGAGAGAGACTAGAAGTGAGAATGTGAGTGAATGTGGGATTGAGAAGGAAGGATGGGAGGGAGGAATAAACAAAACTAAAAATTGAAATCTATTTGAAATTGTTTTTAGGACAAACTACAGTAAACCCCCCCAACTTATAAGGCCATTTATGAGTTCATACTCGATTTTGAGGACATTTACCAATACATACTCAACGTCGTAGAAACCCTACAATTTGACCTCTCCTTTAGCGAGACGTAAGAAAATCCATTATCTGCCTACGTGGTGTCTAGCTGGACGATTTTTTAAGGGCATTTTCAGCATCTCATGTTCATGGGTTTCGCGCCCAAACAACACATGGCGCTCTTTAATTCAAAAAAAAAAAAAAAACCCCCAAATCGATTTCCAGATACTCGTCCAGAGTCCCCCCACCCAAATCGACTTCCCCCCCAAATCGAAACTTATTCCCCAAATTGAAACCTAATCCTCATTTTGCATCGATCGAAAGCACAGAGAAGGCTGGGTTGCTGTAAGTCGAGATGTCTTGGGGTTTTCGTCCTCCTGGCTGTTGTGCTCCTTATTACTGTAAGTTGCTTAGGGTTTTATTCCTTCTAGCTTTTTGGTTTCGTCGTAAAAGGCTTCCGGTTTTGTTTTTTCTGAACCTTTGATTTGCTTTGAAGTGTGCTTGAGAGTGATATTTGTGGTCCATGGTCCATTTCTGTCGGTGTGTTGTTGGAAAAGCATTATTAAAAAAAAAAAAACTTTTTTTGTTAGACCAAACTGCTTTGGATTTCAGACAATACTCAGTGGTCCAAAACCTCTGCATTTGTTTATGTCCTTGTTTATTCACCATTTCTGTATTCAACAATTGTTTATTGATAGGTTTGACTATTATGTGGCTTTGTAGGTGAAGATGATAAGTTTACTATTCGAATGAACCATGGGGGTTCTATATGTGACAACCTAAATGTAAATGGGATGGTGGACTTCATTGATTTTTGCGATAAGGACCAAATGTCTATGTTTGAAATTGGTCTGATGGTTAAGGAGTTAGGCTATGATGGTATAATGTTATATCACTATGAGCTTACCAACTCTTCTTCTGTAGAAAAACTTCTCTCTGATGAAGATGTTATGAAAATGTGTGAATGTGTGTCAAGAGTAAGGGAGATAGATATTTATTTGACACAGTTGGCTGATGACCCTTATACCTTTTTAAACAAACACAAACAGATCGAGCTGCAAAGGGTGGAAGGTTCCGGGGTACAAAACCGAAGGTCAGTGGTGATTGAGGATCTAGGATATGTTGACTATAGTCCTATTGTTCCTTATAAAAGAAATAGAAATGTTGAGCAGCCAACTAAATATCATGAGCCACATAAGGTGAAGATAGTGAAGCAAGAAGCAATGAATGATGTTGGGGATTTTTCATAACCTGAGGCACCAAAGAAGGGAAAGGGTAAAACAGTGGCTAAGGCACCAAAGAAGGGAAAGGCTACAAGGTCTTTAAAAGGTAAAGCAATGGTTGCACCTCAGGCACTAAAGAGGGGAATGGCTACAAGGTCTTCAAAGGGTAAAGCAGTGGCTGAACCTGAGGCACCAAAAAGGGGAAAAGCTACAAGGTCTTCAAAAGATAAAGGTGTGGCAATGACAAGTGCAATAGAAAGGGAAAATAGTGATGCATCCTTATCCGATGCATCTAGTTTTGTTGACAGTGAGTATGGGGGGGATAACATTGACGAGATCACTGAGGAAAACAATTTTTTGCAACTGTGGATTAGAGACCATGCCCCAATTGAAGATATTGTTCGGCCTCTTGAAGATGAAGAGAGAAATTAGGGTGAAAGTGGTGTTGTTAATGAGGGTGAAGGTGGAGTCCGTAATTCTGACAACTTGGTAGGTGGGGACCAACCTTCACAGACTGGTCAAAGTGAGGACCACCCTTCACAGACTGCTCAAAATGAAGACCACCCTTCACACACTGGTCAAAATGAAAACCAACCTTCACTGATTGGTCAAAATAGGGAGCTGCCTTTTCAGACTAGGGATTTTAACTAAACAGATCTTCAAGACACCATATTAGA